AAAGTATACAATCCATTAGTTTTTAGTATGTTCACGGATCTGTGCAACCATCACCAGTCAATTTTGTAACATTTTATCGCCTCCAAAAGAAACCCCGCACACTTGAGCTTCACCTCTCCCTGCCCTCCCAGCCCTGAGCAACCACTAATCTACTTTCTTGTCTCTATAGAATTCTGTATTTTGGACTTTTCTTATGAATGGCATTGTATAATATGTGTCCTTTGTGACTGGCTTCTTTCACCTAGCGTAATGTGTTCAAGGTTTGTCTATGTTATGGCATGTGTTAGTGTTTCATTCCTTTTTGTGGCCAAATAACATTCTTTTGTGTGGATATACCACCTTTGTTTGATCTTTTGATGGTTGTTTGTCTTGTTTCCACCTTTTGGCTATTATGAATAATGCTGCTATAAATATTTGTGAACAAGTTTGTGTGTGGCCATATCTTTTCATTTCTCTTGAGTATATACCTAGGAGAGAAATAGCTGGGTTGTATGATAACTCTGTTCAGTCATTTGAGGAAATGTCAAGCTGTTTTCCAAAGTGGCTGCACCAGTTTACATTCCCAGTCAGCAGTGTATGAGGGTTCTGATTTCTCCACATCCATGCCAGCAGTTGTTATTATCTGACTTTTTGATTTTAGCCGTCCTAGTGCATGTGAAGTGGTGTCTCATTGTGGTTTTGGTTTTCATTTGCCTGATGGCTAATGACGCTGAGCATCTTTTCATGTGCTTATTGGTAATTTATATATTCCTTGGAGAATTGTCTATTCAGACCCTTTGCCCATTTTTTTAATTGGGTATTTGTCTTTTTATTATTGATGTGTACGAATTCTTTATATATTCTAGACTTTTTATTGTCATAAAATATACATAACATAAAATTTACCATTTTAACCAATTTTAAGTATACAGTTCTGTGGCATTAAGTACATTCACATTGTTGTGCATCTGTCACCACCACCCACCTCTAGAACTTTTTCATCTTCTCCAACTGAAACTCTGTACCCATTAAACACTAACTTCGCAATACCCTCTCTCCCCAGCCCCTGGCAATCACTGTTCTACATTCTGTGTCTGAATTTGACTACTTTGGGAACCTCATATAAGTGGGATTAAACAGTATTTGTCCTTTCGTGTCTGGTTTATTTTACTTAGCATAATGCCTTCAAGGTTCATCAATGTTGTAGCATGTATCAAAATTTTCTTCGTTTTTAAGGCTGAATAGCATTCCATTGTATGTATATACCATATTTAGTTTATCATTCATCTTTCACTGGACACTTGGGTCAGATATGTGATTTGCAAATATTTTCCCCCATTCTGTTGGTTGTCTTTATTTTTTTGATGGTGTCCTTTGAAGCACAAAAGTTTTTAATTTTGATAAAGTCCAATTTATCTAATTTTCCTTTTGTCGCTTGTGCTTTTGGTGTCATATCTAAGAATCCATTACTAAATCCAAGGTCACAAAGATTTGCCCCTATATTTTCTTCTAGGAGTTTTATAGTTTTAGCTTTTATGTTTAGGTCTTTAGTGCATTTGGAGTTAATTTTTGTATGTGGTGTGAAGCAGGGCTCCAAGTTTGTTTTTTACACGTGGATATACAGTTGTGCCAGCACCATTTGTTGAAAAGACTATTCTTTCCCGCATTGAATGGTCTTGACATCCTTGTTGAAAATAAGTTGAGCATATATATATTGGTTTATTTCTGGACTTGCAGTTCTTTTTGACTGATCTGTATGTCTGTTCTTTTGCCAGTACTACAGTGTCTTGATTACAGTTGTTTTACAGTAAGTTTTGAAATCGTGAACTGTGAGTCTTCTTATTTTGTTTTTCCCTTTAAAGCTTGTTTTGGCTATTCTGTGTCCCTTTTAATTTTATATGAATTTTATTTATTTAATTTTTTTACTTTTTTTTTGTGTGTGTGAGGAAGATCAGCCCTGAGTTAACATCTGATGCCAATCCTCCTCTTTTTTTCTGAGGAAGATTGGCCCTGAGCTAACATCCGTGCCCATCTTCCTCTACTGTATATGGGACGCCGCCACAGCGTGGCTCGACAAGCAGTGTGTCCATGCGCGCCCGGGATCCGAACCGGCGAACCCCGGGCCGCCACAGTGGAGCGTGCGCACTTAACCAGTTGCGCCACCAGGCCGGCCCTTATATGAATTTTAGAATGAGCTTGTACGTTTCTACAAAGAAGTCAGCGAAGTCAGCTGGAATTCTGATAGGGATTGTATTTTGTCTGTAGACCACAGGTGTTCTTCCAGTTTTAGATCTTTAATTTCTTTCAGCGATGTTTTACAGTTTTCAGAGTATAAGTTTTTAACTTCTTTTGTTAAATTTATTCCTAAATATTTTACTCTTTGTGGTGCTATTATAAATAGCACTATTATAAATGGACTGTTTTCTTAATTTTACTTTCAGATCATTCTTTGCATGTGTATAGAAATATAATGGAGTTTTGTATGTTGTTCTTATATCCTCAGCCTTTCTGAACTTGTTTATTAATTCTAATAGTTTTTTAGTGGATTCTCTGGGTTTTCTATATATAAGATAATGTCATCTCCAAAGAGAGAGAGAGTTTTATTTCCTCCTTTTCAATCTTGATGCTTTTTATTCCTTTCTCTTGCCTACTTGCTCTGGCTAGAATCTCCATTACAATGTTGAATAGAAGTGGCAAGAATGGATTTCCTTGTCTTGTTCCTGCTCTTAGAGGGGAAAGGATTCAGTTTTTCACCATTAAGTATGATATTACCTGTGGGTATTTTGTAGATAATTGAAGAAGTTCTCTTTTTTTAGAGTTTTTTAAAGATTTTATTTGTTAGAGCGGTTTTAGGTTCACAGAAAAATTGAGTGGAAAGTACATATGTTCCTCCCCACACATGCACATCCTCCCCCACTGTCAACATCTTGCGCCACAGTTGTACATTTGTTGCATTGACAAATCATTATCACCCAGAACCCATAGTTTGCATTAGATTTCACTCTTGGTGTTGTACATTCTAGGCATTTTGACAAATGTATAATGACATGTATCTACCATTATAGTGTCATACAGGTTAGTTTTGCTGCACTAAAAATCCTCCTTTCATCTATCCATCCTTTCTCCCTTCCTAACCTCAGGCAACCAGTGATCTTTTTACTGTCTGCATAGTTTTGCCTTTTCTAAAACGTCATATAGTTGGAATCATACACTACGTAGCCTCTTCACATTGACTTCTTTCACTTAGTAATATGCCTTCAAGGTTCCTCCATCTCTTTTCATGGGTTGATGACTCATTTCTTTTTAGTGCCAAGTAATATTGCATTGTCGGGATGTACTACAGTTTATCCATTCTCCTTCTGAAAGGTATCTTGGTTGCTTCCACGTTTTGACAGTTATGAATAAAACTACTTATAAGGATGTTTATATAAATAAAAAAAGATGTTTATGTAAAATAAAGATATTTATAAGCATCTGTGTTTTTGCTTATAGCAGGTTTTTGAGTGGACTTAGTTTTCAACTTATCTGGGTAAATATTAAGGAGTGTAATTGCTGGATCGTATGGTAAGAGTATGGTTTATTTTGTAAGAAACTGCTAAAATGTCTTCCAAAGTGGCTGTACCATTTTACATTCCCGCCAGCAATGAACAAGAGTTCCTGTTACTCCACATCCTCACCAGCATTTGGTGTTGTCAGTGTTCTGCGTTTTGTCCATTGTAATAGGTATGTAGTGTTATGTTATTGGTGTTTTAATTTCCAATTTCCTAATAACATATGATGTGGAGCATCTTTTCATATGCATATTTGCCATCTGTATATCTTCTTTGGTAAGATGTCTTCAGATCTTTTGCCCATTTTTAATCATGTTCTTTGTTATTATTGAGTTTTAAGAGTCCTTGTATATTTTAGATAGTAGTCCTTTATCACATATGTCTTTTGCAAATGTTTTCTCCCAGTTTGTGGGAGAAAGGCTTGTCTTTTTATTCTCTTGAAGTTTGCTAGTATTTTGTTGAGGATTTTTGTGTCTGTATTCATAAGTGTTATTGGTTTGTAGATTTCTCTTTTTGTGGTATCTTTTCTGGTTTTGGTGTGATACTGGTCTCATAAACTGAGTTGGGAAGTGTTTCCTCCTTTTTTATTGAAAGAGCTTGTGAAGAATTGGTATTAATTCTTTTTTGTATGTTTGGTGTAATTCAGTGGCAGACCCATCTGGACCTTTGCTTTTCTTTGTGGGTAGTTTATTGATTACTAATTCAGTGTCTTCAGGTATAGGTGTATTCACATTGTCTATTTATTCTTGAGTCAGTTTCAGTAGTTTGTGTGTGTTTAGGAATTTGTCCATTTCATTTAGATTATCTACTTTTTTGGCATACAATTATTCATGATATTCTTTATAATCCTTTTATTTCTTTAATGTAGCCAGTAATGACCCCTCTTTAATTTCTGATTCTAGTAATTTGAGTCTTATCTCTTTTTTTCTTTGTCAGTTTAGCTTAAGGTTTGTTAATTTTGTTCATCTTTTCAAAGAACTAACTTTTGCTTTCATTGATTTTTTTTTCCCCTATTGTTTTTCTATTCCGTTTCATTAATTTCTGTTCTAGTCGTTATTATTTCCTTTTCTCTGCTTCCTTTAGGTTTAGTTTGCTGTTATTTTTCCATTGTCTTATGGTGAAGGGAAATACAGTTTACTTTTACTTTTAGTAGAGGATGGAGCTTAAATTTTCTTTTAAGAGAAAATTTAAGAGAAAAGAGAAAATACCTTAGAAATTATACTAGGAAATGTTTTGATATCAAGCTACTCTTTTTAGAAATTTAATGCTTTTTAAGAAGGGATTAGTGTGTCAAAAGAGGGTTAGTCTAGTCAGAAAACTCTTCTAGGAATATTTTAATGTGAGTAATGTATTACCAATACTGCCATACTTCATAGATTGAAAAATGGGTTCATGGAGTTGTAGGTATTGGTGTTCTGTTTGATAAGGCATTGAAGAGATAAATAATGTTTTTATTTCTTCTCTTTTAAGATAAAGTCAGTGGTTCTGGAAATAACTCTGATATGATGGAAAACAGCAAGGAAGAGGTAAGAATAATTTGAAGCATTTAAAGGATATTTATTGATTACTAATAACCAACTAAAGTATATATCATTAGATTGCTTCTATTTTTTTTTTTTTTTTTTTTTGTGAGGGAGATCAGCCCTGAGCTAACATCCATGCCAATCCTCCTCTTTTTGCTGAGGAAGACTGGCCCTGCGCTAACATCCGTGCCCATTTTCCTCCACTTTATGTGGGACGCCGCCACAGCATGGCCTGACAAGCGGCGTGGGGCACGCGCCCGGGGTCCGAACCCCGGGCCGCCAGCAGCAGAGCACGCGCACTTAACCACTACGCCACGGGGCCGGCCCAGATTGCTTCTATTTGATATGTATGCATGTGTTTAAGTTACTGTTATACCCAAGTATTATTATAATACTTCATTTTGGGTAGTTGTTCATCTTAAAAAGGTGTTCATTGCTTTTGTTATTGTTGTGGTTCACTTCAGCAGTATATCTAAAGTCAGACAACTGAAGGCTTACTAACAGATAGGTATTTGAACATTATCATGTTGCAACAGTGTGCTCAAGGTGGTTGTAAGGGGCATGACTCCATGGTTCTAAGATCTCTCAAAACTGGATATTCAGAATCTCTTAAGCGTTATTATAGGAACCCATCCTGACGTCCTTTACCTGATACCCAGGGCTACACTATGGTTTTGGGATTCTTTCCACCTAGTGTAAAAATTGTAATCCAATAAGATATACTTTTATCCTGGCAAAACGAGGGTAAATTTAACATCTCATAGCAAATTGTAGAAGGTACTCTGTGTCATATGTTAGGATAGAGAAAATGACACATTTTTAGATTCTTAAAACTCTTTACCTCTGTTGGGATCTGATTACTTCTACATCTTTGTTTTGTCTTTGTTGACTTGGACCAAGATCATGAAACAGAGGTGGTATCCTCTCTCCCCCAACCCCCCACCCCCAAATTCAACAGTAACAATTTAATTTAAGAAAAGACAGAAAATTAATCTTAGTTCAAGGAAATCTGAGAGTAAATGAGAATTAGTTTTTAAAGTTCCTTTTAGAAAAATATTTTAGGCATATAAATAATATCTTATTATATCCCTATATCAGAGATCTTAGTGTAGGGAAATAGTTAATAGTAGGGATGTGTCTTTGTGAGTTTTACTGACCTTTGTATTTATTTCTCACATTCAGGAAGCTAGCTCTTCAGAAAAATCCAAATCGTCTGGATCGTCACGATCAAAAAGGTTGGTTGATGTTGAAGGGAAAGAAGTTATTTTCTTTTTCAGCTTGTTTTGTTTTCTTTTTCTAAGGAGAACAATCTTTTTTCTAAACTTACTTCAAGCACTCTTGTGCTAAGTAAACTGTTTTATATAAACATACATATTAAAAAATGGGCAGTATAGTATAATGAATTCTCTTGTTTCCATCACTTGGCTTTACCAATTAATTTATTCTGACTTTGAATTTTAATGGAATTTTCCTAGGAGGATTTATTGTATATTAATGGCTCTTGGAATATGTAGATCATTTCTTTTAGATCATATTTGTGCTTTAAAAAAAGGAGACGGGAAAGAAATGAAATGTTGAATGCCTCATGAGGCAATATGGGTTTTTAGAGTTATGTGAAATTGTCTAGGATGGGGAGTGGTAGCCATCATAGTTATGAGGAAGTTATAAGGGATCAAAGAGTGGTAAAAATACTTTTCTGTGTTAAATTGTCAAAGCGAATTGTACATAAGGACTGAAACTACTTCCAAGCATACTATAATGCATGATATACTGGAGTATATTTTTTATTAGAAGTTTGCAGTTTATTCTGTTGCACTTTTATTGTTTCTAACCAGTGGGAATGTGTCTTACACACAACTTGCTTGTTATTAACTTATTCTCTAAAGTAGTGATTCTTAAAGAAGAATTTCCTTCATGATCCCCCTGGTAGCTTTTTCAGAATGCACATCCCCTGTTCCTACCTAAGACCTGCTGAATCGTTATCTTTAGTAATATGGTGTAGAGATGTATGCTTCCCTAGGTGATTCTGATGTGTATCACTTGTTAAGAGCCACTGCTCAACCTAAACATCTTATTTATGTTCTTTGGGTATTGTTTCAATTGCCAGAAATGTCCATAATTCTGTGGACTTAATTCCTTCATAGGAAACCTTCGATTGTAACAAAGTATGTAGAATCTGATGATGAAAAACCTTTGGATGAAACTGTAAATGAAGATGCTTCTAATGAAAATTCAGAAAATGATATTACCATGCAAAGCTTGCCAAAAGGTAATGTGTGTTAATTTTTCATATGAAGTTAAAGTTGAAATGTATTTTTAAATGTCATTATTATAAAATTAGAACTTGATTACTGTTAGCCATGTGTAAAGGACCAAACCTGTCATTTTAATAGTGATGTTCTGGAAATATATTAATATGATAATGATAATGTGTCTTACTGAGGTTAAAAATCTAGAATATTCAGTCAGCTTTGAAAAGAGTAAAACTTATTTTCTCTTTCCATTAAATGGTTTTAGAAAAGATATTTTAGCTTCCAAATTATATTTGAATGTGGAAGTTGGTTTAAAGTTTAGTATATTAAGTTTTTGTTTAGTAAATATTAATGTGCTTGCTTTATAGAAAAACATGATGAATTATCTGAAAACGTTTTTAAAAAAACACTTACAGTCTAGTTTAGTCTTATTGTATTCTTAAATTCCGTAAAACTCAAAGCTGAAGTTAACTATCAAAGATAGATTTAGATGTATTTCTTGTAATTATTTCTTTAAAAAACCTTGTCACATACCTCTTAACTGTTGCAGTTCTAACCTTAAAATCTCATTAATTAGATTGGGGGGGAAAAGCCAAAAGAAAATCTTGGGCTTTTCATAGCCCAGGTCTGACAGCAGTATGATTACATGATGAGAGAATGACAAGGAGTCTTGGTAATTTCATGGTGTTTCAGAGTCTAAAGTTTAGATTTTTTAAAATTAAATAATATGTTTAAGACTCTTAGCAGATTTTTCAAATTTATTCTCACAGATCATTTACAACAGTGTTTACTAAACTTTGGTCTCTGTCTATGCTTATGTTTTTGTGACACATTTTTTGATTATCGAAGTTTAAAAAATGGTGCGTAGGAGGATAAGACATTGCTTGACTAGGCCAAATTAGGAGTTACAACAGATGAGAAATGAAATCAATAAAAGGAATGAATGAGAGAAAGAAGAGAGATGGAAGGAAATTTGATGAGCCTACCACTTACTTGGCTTTGCAAATCATCTATGACAGTTTTATGTAATGGTTTTGGTGGCCGAGGGCAGAAACAACTAATGTGGGAGTCTGCGTCCCATAGGCAGTGACTCACTTGGATTGTTACATTCTCAGTGGTTGTCACTGGGAGTCCTTGTGAAGGCCACTGGGTGAGCTAAGAACTAGGAATTCAAATCTTTCTCTTAATGATACTGTGGAAGAAAATTAGTATGAGATGTTACTAACCTGAACTAAGTGTAATTCTCTCCCACCAAACCAAAAATAGACCTGTTTCATAAGGTTAAATTTCGCTGATTATAATTATGGTTATAATACTATGTTGAGTATTATACCAATTATACTAGACTCTTACGAAATTAACTCATTGAATCCTCAAAGCAATGCTGTAAGGTAGTTATTGTTTCTACTTGTAGAGATGAAGGAACAAATTCAGAGCTCAAGGAACTTTTTCAGCTTTAAATTGAGAAGCTAAGATTTGAACCCAGCTCTGCCTGAATCCAAAGCTAGTGAATGCTCTTTCCACTCTACTGCTTTGCTTCCATTTAGAGAAGAATCTTCAGAAAGAATTCTATTATTTTTTTGTTAATTATAAATCTCTAGCTTTTTTCAAATGCTGGGGCTTCTCTGAGAGTATGTACATGAAATGGTTGTTGTGAATAAAAAATTTTTTTGTGGAGATTATGTAAATTCACGAGGTTGTAAAAACTCAATCCTCTTTGCCTTGCCCTCTTTCCCCCTTTTTCAGAGACTCAGAAATTCATTTAACTAGACGCTATACCTTGCTAAAATGTGCGTGCTGAATAACATAGGCCCATCTTTCAGAGCGAGCCCCTGACAACTACCATGTTTTACTTTCTTAATTGTTGCTAATAATGCCCAATTACTAAGCCCAGCAATGTAGATAAATGTGAGACCTGGATCCTTTTTACTATGGCCCTGCTTTATTTGCTCTTGAGAGATTATAATGAAAAATTAGTAAACTCTGTCCTCAATTCACATGTTTTATAGCTAAGAAAGTACATTCTTTCTAAAATATTTCCGTAGGGACCAACAGTTGATCTCATTCTGTAATTTATTGTTAGAGCACTTGAGCTTAAGTATCTTAAGGCAGTCTTCTGTTTAAAACTCTTTAACTTTGCAGGGTACTGAAACTTTGGTGTACTAGTTGAGAAATGCTGCAGAATAGGTCTAGCAGTAATAGCGGAATTAACTTCTCACATTGTTACCCACTACCCTCCCCCAAAGCAGTATAAAACAACCCTTAAAAATCTTTTTTCTGAGTTTATGATTTGGATTATGAGAAGAATAGGATGTCTTTTGTTCATTTTCCCTTCTTGTCCTTTTATTTTATAAACTCTTTATGAAGCTTAGCATGGATGTTCATATTCAAAGCAGCTTTTGTGATAGGCACTGTAAAAATTCAGAACTGGACTGAGGCTTTCTACTTTATTCACACATTTCTGTTATAATCAGTTCATAATACCTCCCCCCACCCCCCGTTTTTATGAACTATATTCCAACAAGTAATCTGATTGTTGACACTTGGCCCTTATACTATTTCCCTGTTTTATTTACTCTTGAGAGGTCCTTATACAAGTATTGAAAGCTTGAAAGAAACAAAACTATGTACCAGCAATGTTGGCTTTATCTGAACTGAAGTCTTGTACTTCACTTGCACATTTAATATGTGTAATGGTTTTTTAAATGAAATCATTCTAGGTACAGTGATTGTACAACCAGAGCCAGTGCTGAATGAAGACAAAGATGATTTTAAAGGGCCTGAATTTAGAAGCAGAAGTAAAATGAAAACTGAAAATCTCAAAAAACGCGGAGGTAAATACAAGTGAAAATGAAAACATGAGTTTAAATTGCTGTTTATGACCATATTGGAAAATCTGATGTACTTACTAAAAATACCTCCACTTTTCTGCCCATTGTTTATTAAAAAGCACTACTTAAAAGTAACTTCTGTTTCTCTCTGAGCTCTGAAGCAGAAAAGGTTAAACACCATTTATCAAAACACCTTTGCCTTCAGCGGCTATTAAGTTTTCTCAAGAGGCTTAGCATTTCCTTTTTGCACATGTTAGTTCTGTAATGCCTATATGCCAGAATGCCATGTGTTCCTTCTCACCCTGAAAGAATTTCAGATTTGGACAAAATCTTGCCTGTGGCCTTCATGTAACTTTATACATATCTAAAACATTGTTTCACAGAGTGATGGACATCTGCATTAGTGTTACCTGGGTGCTTATTAAAAATGTAAGTCCCTTGACTCCACTCCCAACAAATTAGTATTTCTGGGGATGATGTCAAGAACGTGCCCCAGTTTGTTCTTATGTACATCAGAGTTGGGGATCTTTTGATCTAAGATAACAGTGCAGGGATGAGTAGGAAGGAGAAGGGAGCTAGAGCTAGTAAGCTTCCCTTCATCTGTCTGAGCCATCTCTTCCTTTGTCTCTCTACCCTCACTTATACACACACAACCATATTGGCTATCTGTAGAAAGTTAGCATAAGGAGGATTCATTTAGAAATTATGACAGTGGTGTGTGTCCCACTTGTTTGTGTGTGATTTTTAAATAGTGCCTCTATATTTTTTTTGGGCAGATTAACAGAGTCAGAATCATGACTATAAAAGGAGTGTATCTCTAAAAGATAAAACATAACACTAAATTTCTAAGAAGTGCAGTGGAAGCATGTCTTTCTAATATTTATCATATTGTGAAATTGTAGTGTAGTTCTTATATTGGTGAAATTTTGTGTAAATTTTTATTTCAGTGCCATTTGATTATCTTGATGGAACTAGTAAAATATATCTGTATTTATAAAGTGTATGTATCAGTTTTCAGGTTAAATAATTCCTTAGGTTGTTGGAGAAAATCAAGGAAATGTTGTTTAGTCTTTTGTCCACAAGGGGGTATTCTACCCTTTTCAAGCATAAGGACGATTTATTGAGAATCTAGTTCATAGTAGGGAAACTGCCATTGCAGCAATAGAACTCAACAAAGCTGAGAGTAGTCTTAAAACAAGAAATCAGCAAGTATAAGGTGATGGTAAGGACCAATACTAAGAGTTTCTTTCTTCTAATCATGGATCCTTGAGAGAAAACAGATAACTAAGTGTACTGTATTGTGTCAAAATTAGTATCTAAATGGTATCTTTTGGGGAGGGACTCTGGAGCAATCAGTGTCTAAAATGTGGGTAAAGGCTGAAAGGAGAATAAAAAAAGAACCACAGTTGTTGGGGAGGGTGTTCCTAGTGCCACTTTGCTATGTTGCTGGTATTTGGTCTGAGCTGATATGCTTCTGGAAGATTGTATTGAGTGTTCTGCGTAAGGGCGTTTATATCATGCTTAAGGGAATGTGTATGTTTATAGCCATATAGTAGCACTTAAATCTTTCTTGTCAATTTTTGTATTAATGATTTGCTACATCTTTAAGCAGTCAAAAATTACACAAGAAATTTAACTATATTTACTTATGTATACGTGTGTGAATAAACTAGTGATCCGGCGTACTAAATTGTTAGTTAATATTCAAACTTCCTTGGAAAGTGGGTTTTAAAATTGAAGCCTAATTTAGGAAATTGTCAAGAAGGTAAACTTATTATATAAGATAGTCTTATATTGATTTGAAACAAAATTAAACACAAAGATATAGCTATATTGACCATTTCAGGAGCCAATGTTTATTAAATACTATAGCCTATTTTGACATTTTTTCCTCAGTTTAATTGTTAGAAAATATGTTTTACACCTGATTTTTCTATCTGGCACAATAATTTTATTATAATTATTAAAATGTATTGAGCTCAGAAATGAAAATGCCTCTTTTCCATTTATATACTGTATTATAATCATTAAGATATTTCATGACTAAAAATAAAAATTTAAAACATACACATATAGAAACAAGTACATAAAGTAACTTTTCAGCATTTTACAATATTTGCTTCAGATCTCACTTAAATAAAATATTGGTTCAGTCCTACTCTCATCCATTTCCCATTCTGCCCACCCCTCAGGTAATGATTATCCTGAAGATTGTATGCGTGTGTGTGTGTGTGTGTGTTGTTTCCATACATGCTTCTATATTTTTTCTATACATATATTCATAAAGCATTTTTCTTTTAAAAATATAGAAAATAATATCCTGTATATATCCTTTTGTAGCATTTCTCATTCAACATTGTTTTTGAAATGTGTCCATGTCAGTAAGTGTACATCTAGTCTTTTATTTTTCACTGCTCTATAGAATTCTGGTGTATGAGTAAATCATTATTTCCCAAATGTGAAATTATTTCCAATTTTTTTGGAAATTTTTCCAGTTTCCTAATTGGTGCTGCAATAAATATCCCCTGTCCGATAAATATTCCTCTGTGCACATGTGGGAGAAATTCATCAAAGGATCACCTAGTTTTGTTTAATTCTTGAGTGATATATGTGCAAAAGCACATAGAAGATACTTAATAAATATTATCTAACATTGGATGAACATTCAAACTCTAGCTTTTATTTATCTTGTTAGTTTATCTGAATGTAATCATTGTTTGAAATGAAAAAGCACATTGTGTATATGTTTCTGTTAAATACAGAATATATGAATACTCAATATCAAACACTAATGCAGGACAATATGATTTAAAATAAAATATCAGCAGCTTATATAGTGAGTCTTAAAATTCTATAAGTTTTCTGGAAAAGTATGATGGTGCCCTTAATACCTTGGTTAAACATTTTTAACTTCTACAAATAAAAATATTTGTGATAGTACTTGGGTCCATGGTGCTTTTGGACCTTAAAACTAAGAAAAACACAAAATAGAAATTAAAAGGTGAGAAATGTACTCGTGGTTTTGTCTTTTATTTAGGGATAGAGACAGAGTTTGTGGGTTTTTTTTTTTTTCGTCATCTTTTATTTGTGAGTGCAGGCATTTTCACTGGCCTCTTTTTTTCATATGTATATTTGTTTATTGTGGTAACATTGGTTTATAACACTGTATAATTTCAGGTGTACATCATTATTCACTGGCCTCTTTTGAATCATAATCTACCATCTTATTTGGATCAAGATCTTGCTTGCACATCAGAATCATCTGTAAAACTTAAAAAATGTCTAGGAGATTCCCTTTCAGTGGTTTAGGGGTGGGAATGGCTGTCTCTATTTTTAAAAAGATTCTTCGGATGTTTCTGATGTTCAGCTTGGATTGTGAAGCACTGCCCTAAGCAAACTAGGGATGAGAGTGAGGCAGGAGAGGTTTCCTCTTATTCTTTGTTGCATAGGTTATTTTCAGTCTGTTTTCCTGCAGACACTGTGGGATGGGGCTCTACCTTTTTCCCCTAGCCATTCTGAGGTTTTGCTGCCGAGATAGATATACTTGCAAGTCTTATTTCTCCTTGTTTGGAAATAATAGACAGTGCTGATACAGAGTGGACAGTGGAATAGACATAGAAAGAAGGCAGGTTAATGGGGATTGTGGATAGTATTAAAGTAAATCTTAGGAAGGAAATTGGTAATATAAAATTATCAGATTTTCACATGCTATATTAAAAGGACCTGTGCAGACAATTCCATTTTGAGAATAAAAGCTTTATGCCATACCTAACTTAAGTATAGAGTTGCAAAAGAATCTGTTCCATAATATGTCACTTGCTTCTCCATTCTTTAAAAATAATATTGAGTTTATTTTCAAAGCAATAGCAAAATGAAAAAGATCTCTTGGCCCCTATTTTTAGAACTTGTTTTATGGAATCTCTTATCACGTTGTTGTGAGAAATAGGGTTTTTGCATCTGTAAAAGGAAACAAGTTAGGGTTTGTAGCTCTGGAATTTGCCAAGGTTGTCATGTTTTTTAGTAAGTCCATAAAATTATTAACCTTTTTACTTGTGTCCAAAATGTCATTTTTCCAAGGATTATAAGGTATTTAATTTCCAGTATGAAAGTTGCAAAATGCTGACTGAAGTAAATATTTTTTTGTACGTGTCTATATATGTGTAAATAATGGTCACTCCTTTTTCCTAGAAGATGGGCTTCATGGGATTGTGAGCTGCACAGCTTGTGGACAACAGGTCAATCATTTTCAAAAAGATTCCATTTATAGACATCCTTCACTGCAAGTACTTATTTGTAAGGTATGTAATGATCTGTTGATAATTCATTCCACAAATATTTGAATGCTTACTATGTGTCAGACTTTTGGTGCACAGTGATGAAGAAGACAGACATGGTCTCTTACCCTTGTAGGGCTTATATTGTTGTGGGGAAGACAAATATAAAAAGCCTGATAAATGTCATGATAGGGGAGATAACTGTGTACTATGGGAACACACAGGAAGCCTGTGTAATTTGGAGTTGGGTAGGGGGGCTTTATAATGGAGATGATATGAGCTGGTGTCTGAAATATAAATAGCAATTAGCCTGGTGAAGTAGCATATTCTAGGCAGAGGCAACATGGTATTCAGAGACTGGTAGGTGAGGGAGAGTGTTGTGTGTTGGAAAATCTGAAGAGTGTATGCACGTATGTTTTATAACTTTCCTTTTTATGTACCCTCCATGTGGAGCAGAGTTTTGACATAACTTGGAGATAATAGAATTAAAAATGTTTTGTATGTGTTGAAGATAGTTTTAACAGTTTGTCTACTTTTTTTTATTGATGTTTTAATAGTTTATAACATTGTGAAATTTTGGCTTGTACATTTTTGTTTGTCCATTACCATATATATGTCTCCCTTCACCCCTTGTGCCCACCCCCTACCCCCATTCCCCTTGGTAACCACAATACAGTTTTCTTGGTCCATGTGTTGGTTTATATTCCACGTATGAGTGAGATCATGCAGTGTTTGTCTTTCTCTTTCTGGCTTATTTCACTTAACATAATACCCTCCAGCCCCATCCATGTTGTTGCAAATGGGACAATTTTGTCTTTTTTTATGGCTGAGTAGTATTCCGTTGTATATATATACCACATTTTCTTAATCCAATCGTCAGTTGAGGGACACTTAGGTTGCTTCCACTTCTTGGCTGTAGTGAATGCTGCTGCAATGAACATAGGGGTGCATAAGCTTCTTTGGATTGTGGATTTCAGGTTCGTTGGATAGATTCTCAGTAATGGGATAGCTGGATCATAAGGCATTTCTATTTTTAATTCTTTTAGGAATCTCCATACGGTTTTCCATAGAGGCTGCACCAGTTTGCATTCCCACCAGCTGTGTATGAGGGTTCCTGTTTCTCCACATCCTCTCCAACATTTGTTCTTTTTTGTCTTGGTGTATAGCCATTCTAACGGGTGTGAGGTGATATCTTAGTGTTGTTTTGATTTACATTTCCCTGATGATTAGTGATGTTGAACATCTTTTCATGTGCCTATTGGCCATCTGTATATCTTCTTTGGAGAAGTGTCTGCTCATTTCCTCTGCCCATTTTTTGATTGGGTTGTTTGTTTTTTTGTTGTTCAGTTGTGTGAGTTCTTTATATATTATGGAGATTAACCCCTTGTCAGATATATGTTTTGCAAATATTCTCTCCCAGCTGGTGGGTTGTCTCTTCATCTTGATTCTGGTTTCTTTTGTCTTGTAGAAGCTCTTTAATCTGATAATGTCCCACTTGCTTATTTTTTCTTTAGTTTCCCCAGTCTGGGTAGGCATGTCATCTGAAAAGATTCCTTTATGTATGACTGCTTCTTTATTAGTAATACCTTGGAGTTAATTTTAATTATCTATAATATCAAGGTTATGGTTTCCCCAAATTTTATTACTGTTAAGATTAATCCTGTATTAGATTGTTTCCCAGAAAAATGCCTCCTTGAAATGCAGGGGCAGACCAGACTTTCCTTAGAGTTCCAGTTGTAGATCTTTTCTTGTATGAATTTTTGATAGATATAGACCTACTTAAATGTACTAAATTTATTTCCTCTTCTAGCAATTTGTGTCCCTCCTTTCCTTGAATTCAGTTCAGACAGGAGCCTATCTAGGGTACATGTTGTAGCTTCTAGTTTTAAATTTTGAGAGCTGAATTTCATATTGCTGGATTTGTAATGTGCATTCCCTTTCTCTTTTCTTATCTATATGATTGGTTTTTTTCAAAGGCCAGTCTGTTGAGCCTAGCCCATTTCAGTAATCAGTAGTTTTCATCAGTGTGCAAGGAACCTACCCTCTCTCCAGTTGCAGTGAAAAGGAATTTAAAGTTAGTTAGACTTGGATTTTAATACTAGCTTTGCCTCTTAATAGTTATATAACTTTAGGAGATTTATTTATATATTAATGAACTTTAGCCTTTTCTCTCAAATTGTGTGTAATACTTCCTACCTTGCATAATAGGTATTTTGAGATTTAAAGATAACGTAGGTTAATGTAGGATAGTGTTGCTTAGCTGTACACATAGTAGCTGTCTATATATGATGACTATTAAATTTTTTAAGTAGCAACTTCATCTAATACATTTTTATGTAGAGCTTTAGTAGCTAGTTGTATGAGATCAGGAATTTTCTTTACTAAATCTTTTATAAACTTTTATGTAAGGCATAGTGGTGCTTGATGATATGGAAATCTGTTTCAAGGAATTAATTTCTTGAGATATTCCTGTGTCTGGAAAGTACTAGTATTTGGTAGTGCAGTGTTTTTGCTTTGATTCTCTAAACACACACACACAAACACACACACAAACACACACACACATTCCCTTTAGTTTTTTGATGACTTAAAAAGTAAAATTTTTTTCCTTTATGAATGTTACCAATTTTGAATAAAATTTTCCCTTCCCCTTTTCTTTTAATAGAATTGCTTTAAATATTACATGAGTGATGATATTAGCCGTGACTCAGATGGAATGGATGAACAATGTAGGTAGGTAATAAATCAAGATGAAAAAAATTCAGTGTTGTCTACTTTTTGGTGGGAAATTCTTACATAGTTTGTTGTTAGATCCATTTTTTTGTAGTATCATCGATGTCTTTAACGGAAGGTGGTTCTTTTTCGCAAAGCCTTAGATTTATGTGTTTTAAGTTTCCAATAAAGAATAACAGATGACCTAAATTACTTTACTATTAAAATTGCTGGAAAGAAAATTTAAATTGCTTTAGTAATGAAAAAGATTTAAAATGAGTTCTATTTGGGAATAATATTTTAATCTTTAAATAATTTCAGATGGTGTGCAGAAGGTGGAAACTTGATTTGTTGTGACTTTTGCCATAATGCCTTCTGCAAGAAATGCATTCTGCGCAACCTTGGTCGAAAGGAGCTGTCTACAATAATGGATGAAAACAACCAATGGTATTGCTACATTTGTCACCCGGAGCCTTTGTTGGACTTGGTCACTGCGTGTAACAGCGTGTTTGAAAATTTAGAACAGTTGTTGCAACAAAATAAGAAGAAGATAAAAGTTGACAATGAAAAGAGTAGTAAAGTATATGACCATACACCCAGATTTTCTCCAAAGAAAAATAGTTCAAATTGTAATGGAGAAGAAAAGAAATTAGATGATTCATGTTCTGGTTCTGTAACCTACTCTTATTCAGCACTAATTGTGCCCAAAGAGATGATTAAGAAGGCAAAAAAACTGATTGAGACCACAGCCAACATGAACTCCAGTTACGTTAAGTTTTTGAAGCAGGCAACAGATAATTCAGAAATTAATTCTGCTACCAAGTTACGTCAGCTTAAGGCTTTTAAGTCTGTGTTGGCTGATATCAAGAAAGCTCATCTTGCTTTAGAAGAAGATTTGAATTCGGAGATTCGAGCTTTGGATGCTGTAAACAAAGAGAAAAATACCAAAGAGCATAAAGTCATAGATGGTAAGTCTGAAACAAAAGTACGAAAAGGAGAAAAACCTTTTGCTATGGAAAAGAAGGATATTTCAAAATCAGAAGCTAAACTATCAAGAAAGCAGGTAGACAGTGAGCACATGGATCAGGGTGTTGCAGTAGAGGAACAAAGAGCAAATAAAAGTACCAGTGGTGAACATAAGAAATCCGATAAAAAAGAAGTACCTCAATATGAACCTGCTAATACTTCTGAAGACTTAGACATGGATATTGTGTCTGTTCCTTCTTCAGTTCCAGAAGACATTTTTGAGAATCTTGAGACTGCTATGGAAGTTCAGAGTTCAGCTGATTACCAGGGAGATGGCAACAGTGGAACCGAGCAAGAACTGGAGAGTTCTGCTGTGAAATTAAATATTACTTCAAAAGACAACAGAGGAGGTATTAAATCAAAAACTACAGCTAAAGTAACAAAAGAATTATATGTTAAACTCACCCCTGTTTCCCTTTCTAATTCCCCAATTAAAGGTGCTGATTGTCAGGAAGTTCCACAAGATAAAGATGGTTATAAAAGTTCTGGTCTGAACTCCAAGCCAGAGTACTGTGGACTTGGACAGGAAAAGAATGATAATGAGCATTTGGTTGAAAGTGAAGTTTCATTACTTTCAGAAGAATCTGATCTTCGAAGATCTCCACGTGTAAAGACTACACCCTTGAGGCGACAGACAGAAACCAACCCTGCAACATCTAATTCAGATGAAGAAAGTAATGAAACAGTTAAGGAAAAACAAAAACTGTCAGTTCGAGTGAGAAAAAAGGATAAGCGGAATTCTTCTGACAGTGCTTTAGATAATCCCAAACCTAATAAATTGCCTAAATCTAAGCCGTCAGAGATTATGGATCAAAATTCAGATTCTGATGAAATGCTAGCAATCCTCAAAGAGGTATCCAGGATGAGTCACAGTTCTTCTTCAGATACTGATATTAACGAAACTCATACAAATCATGAGAAGACTCTGTATGATTTAAAGACTCAATCAGGGAAAGATGATAAAGGAAAAAGGAAACGAAAAAGTTCTACTTCTGGCTCGGATTTTGATATTAAAAAAGGCAAATCAGCTAAAAGGTCTATAATTTCTAAAAAGAAACGACAAAACCAGTCTGAATCTTCCAATTATGATTCAGAATTAGAAAAAGAGATAAAGAGCATGAGTAAAATCGGGGCTGCCAGAACAATCAAAAAAAGAGTTCCAAATAAAGAAGATTATGATTCTTCTGAAGATGAAAAACATAGGAAAAAAGGAATGGATAATCAAGGGCAGAAAAGTTTGGAGACTGCACAAGAAGGATCATCTGATGATGCTGAAAGGAAACAAGAGAGAGTGAATTTCTCTTCAACAGAAGGCACAGTTGATAAAGACAAGACCGTCATGGAATTACGAGATCGAGTCTCTAAGAAGCAGCAACCAAGTATTTCCTCTGATGGTGCTGATAAGCCTTCTTCTGGCAAAGAGGAGAGTTTTAATTCTCCAGAAGACAAAATGGTTGCTGAAACTAAAGAAAAGAATAAGCATCTGAAAACCAAAACATGTAAGAAAGTACAGGGTGGCTTATCTGATGTTGCTGAGAAGTTCCCAAAGAAAGAGCAGAGTGATGAATCCTCTGAAGATGATAAAAAGCAGAACAAAAGGAGAAGTGAAGAAAAAGAAAAGAAAACTACAGACTTGAAGAAAAAAGTAATTAAGATGGAACAACAGTATGAATCATCATCTGATGGCACTGAGAAATTACCTGAGGGAGAAGAAATTTGTCATTTTCCTAAAAGCATAAAACAAAATAAGAATGACACAACTGATGGGGAAAATAAAAGTAAAAAAATAAAAGGTAAAACTTCTAAAAAGAAGGATGAATTATCCTATAATGCTGAGAAGTTACCAGGGAAAAGAGACAGTTGTGATTCTTCAGAAGATAAAAGGAGTAAGAATGGAGCATCCAGTAGAGAGAAGAAAAGGTGCAACTTGTCTGAAAAGAGTTCAAGGAAGAGACAGGATTGTTCGTCATCTGATACTGAGAAATATTCCATGAAAGAAGATGGTTGTGATTCTTCTGATAAGAGACAGAAAAGAATAGAATTGAGAGAAAGAAGAAATTTCAATTCAAAGAGAAATACCAAGGAAGTACAAAGTGGCTCATCATCTTCTGATGCTGAGGAAAGTTCTGAAGATAATAAAAAGCTGAAGAAACAAAGAACTTCAGCTAAAAAGAAGGCAGGCAATGTCAAGGAGAAAATGAGAAACTCTCTAAGAGCAAGCACTAAAAGGAAGCAAGCTGACATTATTTCCTCATCTTCTTCTGATATAGGAGAAGATGATCAGAATTCTCTAGGTGAGGGGAGCAGTGATGAGCAGAAAATTAAGCCTGTGACTGAAAATTTAGTGCTGTCTTCACATACTGGATTTTGCCAATCTTCAGGTATGCCAAAATAGATAAAAAATTTATAATTTGTACTTTTCCCCTCTTGAATAACTACATTGTTTAATTTTCCCTGAAGCCAGTCAAATGCAAAGTTACTCTTTGGGAAGAGACCATTTAAAAATTTAGAGATTGGGGGGCTGGCCCATTGGCGCAAGCAGTTAAGTGTGCGCACTTCGCTGTGGCGGCCCGAGGTTCGCTAGTTTGGATCCTAGGTGTGCACCGACGCACCGCTTGTCAAGCCATGCTGTGGCGGTGTCACATATAAAGTGGAGGAAGATGGGCATGGATGTTAGCCCAGGGCCAGTCTTCCTCAGCAAAAAAAAAAAAAAAAAAAAACGAGGAGGATTGACATTGGATGTTAGCTCAGGGCTGGTCCTCCTCACGGAAAAAAAAAAAAGAGATTGGGGCCAGTCCGGTGGTGCAAGCAGTTAAGTGTGCGTGCTCCGCTGTGGCGGCCCACGGTTTGCCTGTTCGGATCCCGGATGTGCACTGACACACTGCTTGGCAAGCCATGCTGTGGCGGTGTCACATATAAAGTGGAGGAAGATGGGCATGGATGTTAGCCCAGGGCCTGTCTTCCTCAGCAAAAAAAAGAGGAGGATTGGCAGATGTTAGCACAGGGCTAATCTTCCTCGCACACACACACACAAAAAATTTAGAGATTTACCAGAAAGCCTTTCTCCATTTATTTTTATGCCATAATTGGAAGCTGTTTCAAACATTGTTAGTATTCTGTATCAGGTATACTAAGTTTGCTGGGTAAATAACAAAATTTCTTTATCAATGTTTAATGCTTTTCTCTGGAGTAATGAACAGTAGTTTATGAAGGAGAATCAGATTGGTGTCACTAGTTCAGTAGGTATTTATTCTTGTAATGGAGATGAGTGCTTGGTACTGGTATAACATGGTGTGTGACAGTTTTGACTGCTTTGCCATGCATATGACTTTTAAAATTGGACAGAGATTAACTTTGTGTCCCATGAAATCCTCTTAAAAGTTTGAATTTATTTCATCACAAAACCCTTTGCTGGTGCCCATCAGTTTTTTCTAATGACATGAACAAATGTTTCTGTCTTTAACACTAACAAAATAAAGGAAGAAAGAAATCCAAAAAGTAGTTGGATTACCCTATCCTGATAAGATAGAGCACTAGGGTGATTATGGTTTGGATCAACAGGTCAATGATAGCTCCCCCAATAAAAGAAGTATAAAAATAATTTTTATCATTATTATAGTTCTTTTTAAAAATCAGTTGTATAATAAATGTACACTTGTCACTCATACTGTCTTTTTTTTTAAACATTTGAAATTTATTTTAAAATTTGTATAAAGTAGATTTCACATAAAACTGTGTTCTCAGCACAGGCAGAATGTTTTAAAAATTTCCTTTTATTTCTTATGTTAGGATTTTCCATTTATCCCAATTGGATTTTAGTGGAATTAACTTGAATCTTGGTTTTTAATAAAACTTTAAATTTTTTTATGGAGCACTTGTCTAATGAGTTGATTTGAAAACTAACTGTGATATGCATGGTGTACTCAGTTTAATGCTCTGCTATATCAGATGCCTAGATGGAGCTCAGTCTGTATGGCTTTTGTAATTACAAGTCTGCAGTCCCTGAAATTCTTGGAGCCTAATGTGTTTCAGAATTTTCAACTTTTTGGTTTTTAAAAAGATAATGTGGAGTAGTTACCATATATTATATAAAAGCCCCCAAAGAGCCTGAGGCAACACCGCCATAGTCAAACACATTAGTATTTCTACAGCAAAACACATGAAGGTTCACACTTAGAGGAATAAACAGTTCAGATCAGGTTTTGCTGCCAAATGAACTTTGGCACCACCTTACAAAACTTTGTTTTGAGGCTTTTTGGATTTCAGAATTGTGCATAACAAACTGTGGACTTGTATTGAAAACACACTCTAAAAGTTACTTTGATATCCAATGAATGTTTTAGTTATCAGGTTAGTTGGGAAAACTCTTGTTAAGCATTAGAGTATAAGAATAATATTGTGATTAGTTACATGGAATATTCTCATTAACAAATTCTAGGCTATTGAACTAATATTAAACTTTGGAAAACGTGTCCATGATTAAACAGCTTCCCTAGTGAAATCAACATGTGTGATTTTAAGTACTAATTTTTTTTTTCCCCAAAATCTCACTTGATTTGACACATGCGAGGGTTTCTGTGATATACCTCTCATGTTTGGGACTATTAATACCTAATGTAATAAATAATATGTATTCATTATATCTTAAGAAGAGATGGCAACATATGGCAAATACTCAGAGGGCGCATTTCCTAATAACTTCGTAAGCCGGCATTACTCTAGATCATTTTGTTTTATTTTGACTTATGTAACTTTGTTCTGAAGAACTATTGTGCTAATTAATTAGGAGGTAAACCTTTTCTCATGTGTATATCCAGAGAAGAGAATTCAGCACTTCAGCAGATGCCAGTCCCTCAACTATTTGGTGGAACAAGACTTGTTTGGATTTTTTTTGCTTTGGATATTTCTTGAAACTGATTACTTTAGATGAAAAAAAGAAGATAAATTTGCTAGGGAATTAACACATCTAAAAATTGGACTTCGTCAATAGAAATATTTAAGCAGAAAAGAATATGAAGGGGGGCCGGCCCGGTGGTGTAGTGGGTAAGTTTGCACGCTCCACTTTGGCAGCCTGGGGTTCGTGGGTTCGAATCCCAGGCGCAGACCTACACACCACTCATCAAGTCAAGCTGTGGTGGCATTCCACATACAAAATAGAGAAAGATTGGCATAGGTGTTAGCTCATGGACAATCTTCCTCAAGTGAGAAGAGGAAGATTGGCAACAGATTTTAGCTCAGGGCCAATCTTCCTCACCAAAAAAACAAAAAACAGAAAACAAAAAACAAAAAACAAAAAGCAAAACAACAAACCCCACAACATACCAAAAAAAAAAAAAGAAAAGAATATGAAGGCTATTGAAAATAAGCAGTATGTAAAAGGTACTGTTTTTCAAGATAAGTTTGGGTGACAGCCAATGATAAGTGGCATTCTTTAAGAATTTGCTTGCATGCTTATACAAGCATGCTAAATTTGTTTATTCTCCTAATATGTCCAATTTAATTTAGGCGGCAATTTTTTATGAGCTCTTTAAGCCTCCCCTGCCCCCATGAATTTAGAGGCTTCCAATTTATTCAGCAGTAGTTGGGTATCCTATTATGGGGTACAACATTTTCCTAGAAATTGGAGCTTAGGAATGGTATGAGCAGCCAAGATGAAGAACACGGTCCTAGGAGATTGCAGTACAATAAGCAGTATAGACATAGATAAATAATTATTTTATTAAAAAAAGAATACCAGAAGGAAGATAGAAAACTAAAATGGGGCTATTTGATAAATAACAAGTGAGCCATTTAATCTAAATGTTGGAGGAAGACTTAAAAGAACAGGTAACATTTGAACTCAACTTTAAAGGATGGGTCAAATTTTGAAAGGTGTAGTAAAGAGGAATGATAGTAATATTACTAATAATATTTCATTTGAAGATTGGTCTCTTTGAATGAGGTATTTATTATGAGTTTGCTAGGATATGGTGAGATTTATTTTTACCTTTCTATATTTAGAGTGTTTCTATCCTGAGCCCATAGGTGTCTGTGTTCTTTATGGATTTTTTTCCTCCAACATTTTCCCCCAATATTTTATTATGAAAAATTTTAAATATACAGAAACATCGTACTGTATTTGCTTTATTACATGTTTATATATCCTTCGGTTTATCCATCAATAAGTCTGTTTTTTTGCCTTTTTAACTGTTTATTTTGAAATAATTATAAATTCACAGAAAGCTGCAAAAAAAAATGTACAGGGAGTTCTTGGATACCCTTCATTCAGTTTCCCCCAATGGTAACTTCTTACGTAATTATATACAGTGTCAAAACCAGAAAACTAAAGATTTATTCAAATTTCACCAGTTTTACACACACTCATTCGTTTGTGTATATGTATGTGTAATTATAGTTCTGTGCAATTGTATCACGTGTAGCTTTGTATAATGACCACCACAACCAAGTTACTGAACTATTCCATTACCACAAGGTTCCCTTGTGCTACCCTTTATGCACACCCTCTTGTTTATCTCCATTCTTAACCCCTGGGAACGGTTAATCTGGTTAATCTGATTTTCCTCTCGGTAATTTTGTTATTTTGAGATGGAATCATGAAGTATGTAACCTTTTGACAATGACTTTTTTTCACTCGGTGTAATGCCCTTGAGGTCTCTGGCATTTCAAAGTAAGTAGTAAACATCAGCATACTTCTCCCTGATTACTTCAGCATAGATAGTATTAACTAGAGTTCAATATTTAAGTTTGTTTTTGAGGTGAAATTTACATAGAATGAAATGCACAAATCTTAATCTCTTTAGATTTTTAATCAAAGGATAGGAATGTAGCTTTTTATAAGGAAATAAAGTTTTACTGTACTTGAATATATCTCCGAGTAATTCTACTCATGAATACCATACAAATTCAAGTATATTTTGAAATTACTTGGTACTACCAAAATATTAATAGCAATTTTGCTATTCTTGAATGATACAGGATAAATTAGACGTCCGTTAACTTTAAACTTAAAATGGATCACTAGAAAGCTTATTTCAGCAAGAAATTATGCTAACATGATGGTGAATGATAAAGATTTGTTACTGGGAAAGATGAGCTTTAAAACCGTTGTGCTCTGGGAAGGAACTTTGAAATAATGTAAGATCCAAATATTTATCATTTGACTGCTGGCACTTCTTAAATTCCCCATTGTACTTTCCTTTGAAATTCTTTTTACTCACGTTTTCGATCCCAGAGTACAGTTTAGAACCCACTAGTTGTTTTAACTTTTTGGCTTTCAGTTTTATTTTACATGATTTTACTTGTATAGGTAATTTAAAGCTAACTTTAAGTACACTTTTTTTTCCCTCAAGGAGATGAAGGCTTATCTAAATCAGTGCCTGTCACAGTGGATGATGATGACGACGACAATGATCCTGAGAATAGGTATGATTCCATCTGTAAGGACTTTAAAAAGATTATAACACACCCTAGGCGTGGGCACAAACAGCAGCAACGGAACCGCAAGCAGGTTGTAAAAACCAGGAGTGCCTGCCTTAGAAAGACTCCCTCACGGTCTTCCTGCAAGTTTGAAAGAAAGGCCAGAAAATGGGCTAAAACTCATAAACCTTAAGGGAAAGTAAATATAAATATGAACACACCTAGCATAGGGTGTGTTATCAATACAGCACTGTCAATTTTATGTTTCTATGTAAACTGTGATAATTTTTTGAGAATACTTTAGTCTTGACAGATTATTTTACTCATGAAAGTAAATCATATCTCAATAAATTGGTGACAACAGACATCTCTCTCCTCAATATTTTATTGTTGTTTTTAATTGCCATTCAGTATGGTGGTTCTATTTATTAAAAACCTGTTCAAAGTGGACAAAAGGAGATTGCTCAGATATTTAAGAAATTGCTTTCAAAATAAGTATCAATTTACAAGGTGTCCAGACTGATTTAGATTTTAACCATTTTTCAAATAAAATCGAAGTAGACAGATAGTATTAACTTTAATAAGACAAACAGTAGGTTTAAATGTAAACAGTGTAGCCTGTACAGATTTACTTAACTAAGGGATGGCATAAATCCCTTAAAAGAAGAAAAAAAAAATACAAACACACACCCATATCCTAGCAATGAAGAATAAAGAAAACAAAGGTATTTAAGAATAGAACCATAATGTTTTTACATATCTTTTAAACTCTTCCTGGACTATAGTATACCCCAGACTCATAATCTTCAACCAGGAGACAGTGTGGTGTAGTGGGTGGAATTTTGGAATAATGGGGATAAGATATCTGACTTCTAGTTTTAACTTTTCCAACAAATGTCTGTGTGACTTTGGGCAAGTGACTTAACCACTCTGCCAAAATTTTCTGATCTCTAAAATGAAATGCTTGGATGAAATTTGCTCTGATTAATTCTAGCACCAAAAGTCTATGATAGACTTGATGGTTTTATTAAAGAACACTATATTAACCATCCATTTATTCATAATAGTAAGGTCTATATTAAGAAAACATGAAAATATACATGTAATTTTTGTGTCATAATTTTTTAAGGAATTAACTTTGCGTTAGTAAATGCTGTGGGGCCAGCTATTACTTTAGCTTGTTTTGTATGGTGCTGATGCTGATAGGTTTTTCTGTTTCAAAGATCAGCATTTTCCTTAATTAACAGGAGAACGTTTTTATTAAGGTGAATGAGCAATTTTATTTTGCAATTTTGAATAGAGCTTAATCATGGACACAAAGACTCAGATGCTGCTTACTTATTTTTTGATTAAATATATATCCAATTATTTTATGAGGTAGGGGTGGGGTCCAGATGGAATGGTAAAGGCATACATTTTATTCATCAGGGATTTTATATAGCACATGGTAACAGCAAGATTATGAAAGCATTTAAAAATTTATTCTCTTTAAATGCTTTAATTTCTCTTCTTTATTTATGCTATTTGTTTTCCTGTAAATCATGAGGCCTCAAATGTTATTGCAAGGCTAATATTGGTTAAAACATGCTATATTCTAATTTAACTGTGAGCGATGAACCTTAATTTCATACTTAGCCACCAAATGAGACTGTCATTAAAGTATGATAGTTTTTTGTGTTAGAGCTTGTCAAAATATAAATATCATTTTCATCTTTTAAGTTACGTGATTATCTCTCTCTGTAATTAGCAGGTATTTTATTGGATGGTATCTTTAATTCCATCTTGTATTTGTGATTAAAAAATACAACCCTGTTGAGTACTTTTGAGAAGAATTGGATTTTATCTCGAGCATGTTTTTCTTTATACTCAGTTTAATGTGCTTTTATAAAATATACCATTAATAACTTGTTTCATATCCAATATACCAAAGAAGTATCTAACCCTCATGGGTTATCTAATGATGGGGATACAAATACCTTTTTGAACTATTTTAGTATAGATGATGTATTTGAGCATATTTTAATATGCACTAAGAAACTTTTAAAAATTTGTTTGCAGATCATGATTAAGTCTTGGAATAATTTTTACTATTTTCACATTTTTGAGTAGAATGTATTTTGGTAGACAGCGTATTGTAATTGTGTGTAAATTTGTACACAATTGTGTAATTGTGTAGAAATTGTGTATAAATTTCATATGCTTTGCCCTTTTAGCAGTATTGTAATACATTTTCAGTGTTGATGTTTATAGAGAGGTAAATAGTGTATTAATGCAAATACTTAACTATTTGGATGCAATAAATTTCTGTAAAAGTTTTTTCTTGTTCAAGCATTTAATTTTAATTATAATACATCTTTTGATGAGAGTGGAAAGAATTTGTTAGACTTTTAAGATATTCAGGCTTGTTTGTAGCCAAAGAAGTTTTGATATTTCTGAAATTGAGGAAGTAAATACTTTATAATTCTCCAAACATATATACTTATATAAGACATAGATATAGTTGTGTAAAAGTTTTGTAGTAGATTTCACTATTATTTATCTTTTCTATTTTATTTATTTATTATTATTATTTTTGTGTGTGTGTGAGGAAAATCAGCCCTGAGCTAACATCCATGCCAATCCTCTTTTTTGCTGAGGAAGACTGGCCCTGGGCTCACATCTGTGCCCATCTTCCTCCACTTTATATGGGACGCTGCCACAGTATGGCCTGACAAGTGGTGCGTTGATGGGTGCCTGGGATCCGAACCCGGGCCACCAGCAGCGGAGTGCGCACACTTAACCACTATGCCACGGGGCCAGCCCCTATCTTTTCTATTTTAAAGCTATGATAGCTTTTGAGGTCATTTAAAAAACTTAGCCATGTCCTGAATGTTTTAGTAGGTGTGAATAAGTTTCTGTTATTTTAGCATACTATTAGGTAGCATCCTTCATATTTGAAAATAAATGTATGATATTGTGAGATTGAGTGGTCTTACTTGTAAATTAATTTCTATTTAATTGCATTTATTTAATAAATAATGAAAAATTTTATAGGTTGGTCGGCAGTAACTTTTATTATTTTTTGATTGAGCTTTTTAAAAATTTTATAAATAGTAGACTAACTGTATATTTTGAATTTTGTATACCTGAGAATTTACTTCAAATTTTAAAGATTAGGATTTATACACTTTTTGAAAGGGAGAATAATAATACCAGTTTGTCAAGTTATTTAAATTATACACGTAATTTTTTTTTCCTTTTTTTGGTGAGGAACATTTGCTCTGAGCTAACATCTGTTGCCAATCTTTCTTCGCTTGAGGAAGATTAGCCCTGAGCTAACATCTGTGCCCATCTTCCTCTACTTTATATATGGGTTGCTGCCACAACATGGCTTGACGAGTGGTGTAGGTCCGCGCCCAGGATCCCAACCCACGACCCGGCCTGCCAAAGCTGAGCACGCTGGACTTAACCACTACTCCACGGGGCCGGCCCCTATGCACGTAATTTTAAAGTCAGTTATTTGAATGTGCCATTATGGTAATGTCGTCTTTTGAATACCTGTTAGTTGCGTTTTAAATTGGTTCTTTCATTGAAAAGACATGTATTTATATATATTTTTCTTATG